AGCAACCACAGGAGTAGCAAAAAGAAAAAAAGTAGAGAAGAAGCATCACTATAGTGAGAGGAAAATATAGAGAGAGAGTGTGGCAGAGAGACATTGTGCTAGCGTTTGCCAAATGATCGGAACTTCATGTAGGACGACCAGCGCCAATCCGAACGCTTATGTCCTCGTGCCTCTAGGAGGATCTCGACCTGGTCCACCGTTGGTGAGTATCACTAGGGTCGACCCAGACACTTCTATCACATATTTCATCTTCAATATCAAACATGATCTTTCCCATTTCAGATTCAAAACTTCGGCCTGCCCATGTATCTGATGGAGCCAGCAGAACAATGAATAACATACTGGTAAACCGAGAGGCGGTGAACAAAACAGAGTGGTGAGAAAGGGAGAGGAACTTTAGTGCTTGCCACGAAATATTTAGAGCATCTTTGCCCCGTGGCAATCGCAGGGGCATATTTACTATAAAAAATAAATGCTCTAATCACTGTTTTGATCTTTTCGCTGCCTTCTCTGGCACCTAATTTTTGGTGAGCTTGGCCTATTGAATCGTTGAACCATTCTCTAATCTCTACTAAATCGTCCCATACACTCTATTATTAAAAGAAAATCGTCCCATATACTCAACGGAGGGACTCATCCAGTTCACTTCGGGGACATTTGCAGTCTTAGGCATCTCTAAAGTGGACCCTCGAACCTTTTGCAAGCGTCTGGAGCGAGCTGTTCGGACGCAGTTTGCCATCCAACGCGTCCTGCATCGGCCCGCGAATCAGTTCAGATGTCCATTTTCCTACAAACCGGAAGAAAACTAGAAGGGGCTTTGCGAGAGTCCGGACACCAGCCATGTAGGACTCCGACACCCTCGGCTCACCCAAAATCCCGCCTGGACCGGCGTCTCCATCCTTTCTTTTTCTCTACATCCGCTTTCTCTCTCGCCGCCGCCGCTCTACCACACTGACCGCCAGCCAAGCTCCTGCCGAAACTCCGCGGCCTACGCGACCTCCATCGCTACACAAGACCTCCACGCCGCTTGTCCTCCGCTGCCGTTCCACACCTCTCATTTGTCCTCCATGGCGTAGGTACCATCCACCCCTATGGTAGTCACCACGCCCGACAAGTGTTTGGTGAAATGCTCGTACTAATTTTTTTTGTCCCTTCTTTGGAGCAATGGTTTCGGACAGGAAGTACATATACAAGCACTATGTTAAGTTGTTCAACGAGGAGGACTACGCGGATGAAACGACTATGATGCAGACAGTCCTTGCAGAACATAGGTCATCCTATCGAAGTTCCCGATCAGAATCCAACCATGTTTGATGAGTTTATTCAAATGCATCAACAAATTCGACATCGAGCAACTAATGAGTAGCTCAAGAAAGATTTGATTGAGCACATGTGGGCGGTTAAAGGGGAAACTTGAACATATGTGCTAGTTGATTTCAAGTTTGAACTATGTTAATTTGAAAACTTTGTTGGATTGTAATATTTAAGTTAGAACTATGATTTGATATGCGATTATTTTCGGCTAGCGGACTTAAAAAAAGAGATGGAATGTTTGCGACTAGCTTTGGATGGTTGACTCCCACATCAGTGTCTGCGGACTGATCCCCACCGGTCCGTGGACTGATACGATGTTGCTCGTACTAATTTTTTTGTCCCTTCTTTGGAGCAATGGTTTCGGACAGGAAGTACATATACAAGCACTATGTTAAGTTGTTCAACGAGGAGGACTACACGGATGAAACGACTATGATGCAGACAGTCCTTGCAGAACATAGGTCATCCTATCGAAGTTCCCGATCAGAATCCAACCATGTTTGATGAGTTTATTCAAATGCATCAACAAATTCGACATCGAGCAACTAATGAGTAGCTCAAGAAAGATTTGATTGAGCACATGTGGGCGGTTAAAGGGGAAACTAGAACATATGTGCTAGTTGATTTCAAGTTTGAACTATGTTAATTTGAAAACTTTGTTGGATTGTAATATTTAAGTTAGAACTATGATTTGATATGCGATTATTTTCGGCTAGCGGACTTAAAAAAAGAGATGGAATATTTGCGACTAGCTTTGGATGGTTGGCTCCCACATCAGTGTCTGCGGACTGATCCCCACCGGTCCGTGGACTGATACGATGTCCGGTTTGGGGCTGAGATGCCCTTAGGGTCCAATTAAAAGCAAAACTTTTCTTTGGCAGCTGGCTTGTTGTCGTCTTCCCCCTGAGACAAAGTCAGAGCGACACAACCTTAGAGCATATACAACAATGATTAGCTAATTTGGTGCCCCATACGCCCGCGGGTGTGTCCGCTGGCAATGCCCAGACAGAAGTCCATATGCTCTGTCCACACCCACGAACCCCAAATTCGGATACCCTATTTCATATAAACTCATGCATAGTACATAGATCATAGAGATAGCACAAAAACTAAGAAATTTGGAAATTAGACATGCAATTAGTCCATGGGGTCTGTCTCATTGCCAAAGGCATGGTCGGACTTGGACATGGCAGAGGAGGCAGAGAGATTGGGAAAGAAGTGGAGAAAGATGGGAGGAGAGCGGAGAGGGTGAGCGGACTGAGACTTACTAGGGTTCGCCCGAGCGGGTGGGTTTTTGTGGGGATGTTGTGTCGGAGTTGAATTCAACGGATATTGGGTAGGGGGTCTTGAGATGATGATCTTGGCTTAAGGGTAAGAGGACAAAAAGGGACATGATGTTTTACCCAGGTTCAGGCCCTCTTGAAGAGGTAAAACTCTACGTCCCGTTTCTGTTGTATTGATTTCTGATGGATTACAAAGTACAGGATGATCTACCTCGAGATCGTATGTGAATGAATCTAACCCTACAGTCTAAACCCCTCGGCTTATATAGGTACCGGGGTACCTAGGGTTACATGTAGATCGGTTAAATCAAGGGATAAACAACTGTATGTACTAGTTAATTGTTCGGCCATGGGTTCGGGAAACCCCTCGCCTTTTCAGCGAATGTGATGCTGCCATGCATGCTGGAGAGTGGTCATCACTAGGTTCTGCTCCACAAAGAGCATGCTTGAGCTAGAGTGCCATGTTCTCGAGAATGCAATCTCGCTCTAGTGCCTCACATTGGACACCACCAGAGGTCATTACATGTGCAATGTCAAAGGATCGCTGAGATGCTATCTTGTGGTAATCCCAT